AACGGCTTGGCACCCCGTTGGCATAGCACAATAAAAAAACTTAACTGGTAGAACACCTTTAGTCGTTTAAAATGAATACGGAACCTAATCTCTTGTCGCCTGTCATAATGTAAAAGTGGAAATTGTAAGGATTCTAAACAACCAATAAAAATGTTTGAAGTGGAATAATTAATAAACGTTTGAATTGGAGGCTACGCTAATGATGCAAAATTTGAAAACAATTTAAATGAAACTTATTCATTCGTTTCTAAATTAACTTGCTACGCTGAAAGCGAAAACATTATGATAGGCGACAAGAGATTAGGTTCCGTATTCATTTTAAACAACGACTAAAAATGTTCTACCAGTTCAGTTTTTTTATTGTGCTATGCCGACGGGGTGCCGAGCCGTTCGTACGCGACCTACGTCAGGCCCGGTTTTCATAGCCGACATTGCAGTCCTTGAGCCGCTCGGATTGGTCGGTGTTTTTTGTTAATAACTAGAAAACCAAGCCTTAACCAACATTGTGGGAAAGAAAAAAGTTGTTTAGAATCACCTTAGCAATTATCCCTCTTCGGCTGTAGAGGTAGTCGCGTGACACTCTGTACATCCGCGATGATCCCACTTGCAAAAATTTATGAAGTTTGTTGTTTATTAACCATTTAAATTTGGTCAATATTTTTTCAGTTTATGGTTATTAGCTAAGCAACAGAAATCCAAAATCACCTTACACTATCCTACAAATACTACAGGTTCCACTATAAAGTGTAAAATAATTTCTATTTCATTTATACTAATATTCCATAGCTATTAATAATATCTACTTAATCGTTAAATAGGATACCAAATACATTTCAAAGTTTTCGGAGGCGGCGCAAAATTATAAACCTTTCTTCTACTAGGAAGATCCTAGTTCAGGTGTCGGCAACATATGACAAATGACCCATTTGATAATTTCAAGTAAACAACATTCAACGGGAATCAACACATCCATTGCGGATTAACTATACTGCAGTTCACGAGAGACCATACTTAACTCGCGCAGCTCAGTAGGTCTGGGGACATTTTTAATAACCTGTGTGATATAACTTTTTCTTTGAAAAAAATAGGAGTTTCGTTGTACCGTGTATCTTTACCATATCATCATTGGTTATCAGTTATCGTACGTCATATATTTCTGTCCACCATTTAAATGATCGCAAAGTAAAAAGCAAGCAGAAGAGAGGAATGACACACGTTATTAAAAATGTCCCCAGACCTAGTGAGCTGCGCGAGTTAAGTGTGGTCTCTCGTGAATTGCAGTATATATGTACATCAGAAGTGCTACCAACTTTTGATACAATCGTTAAAAATACGAATGTTTTGTGACGTATCTATAACGATTCGAATTTTTTTTTTTACGACTTCTTAATTACCAGGTTTGCCATACCGCAGTCAAATCGTTATTGGCAGCATCGTATATTCGGGTATTTTTAATTTTGCGCCGCCTCCGAAAACTTTGAATTGTATTTGGTATCCTATTTAACGATTAAATAGATATTATTAATAGCTATGGAATATTGGTATAAATGAAATAGAAATTATTTGACACTTTTTAGTACATTTCGAAGACGGATATGTTTTTTGTTAAAAATTATTTTATAGGAACATTAACTTGAGGCACAAAATCAGGAATAATTTTTTCAGATTTAAAATTTTGCACCTTTTTACATTCTGTTTATTTTCTAGTACTGGTGTAATAATTACATTTTGCAATTCGCGGATACATAGAATAACGTTTGAAGAAAATTCATGCTCTTTTATACCTTCTATAAAGTTAAAAATATAAATAGGGGACGATATTTGGTATCTTTATCCTACACTTTTTATGTTACTTAATTTATATTTTATATATGTATATTTTTTTTCCAAAAACATGCCAAAAATATATTGCATACTTCATATACAGGGTGTTCGACAACAGGTGGGCAAAATTTTAAGGGGTGATTCTAGGGATCAAAATAAGACGAAAATCAAGAATAATAACGAAATAGCGTTTGCGGCTTTGTTTTCCAGTAATTAACGTTTAAAAATTCGAGTAAAAGGCGCCTGAAACCTGCAATCCGCCCAGCATCGACAACTGAACGTTAAGTCAGTAGGGGTCGGTACAGTCATCACTAAGAATCGAAGCCGAATGCTGCACTACCGAGAAACAGAATAGCACGAGGTAAGTTTCTCCTATTCAACGATTCTTGGTTATGGCTGTACCTTCCCATGCTGACCTGACGTTCAGTCGACGATGCTTTTTACATGAATTTTTAAACGTTAATTACTGGAAAACAAAGCCGCAAACGCTATTTCGTTATTCTTGATTTTCGTGTTATTTTGATCCCTAGAATCACCCCTTAAAATTTTGCCCACCTATTGTCGTACACCCTGTATAAATGTTATATTTATTTTATAAAATTCGGTAATCTTTATGTGGGCTTTCTTTCATTAGGGATAAGGGTAAAGAGTGAAGCTTTCCATTATTTCAACGATCTTCCTGCTCTCATACATCAAGAAAAAGGCCAAATAAGGAGAATGGATTTATATTCAATCGAGATAAGCTTAGGTTGCGCACGACATATTTATAATAATCCTTGAAGGAATAATAATGAACAAAATTGGAATTTATCTGAGTCAGTAAGCCACTTAACTAAGTAATAATAGAAATCCAGTGCTTATACATGGATATAATAAATTATTGGTAATAACAACACAGTAAAATAAACCATAATTATACTTAAGACTTTAGCTCTATAAATTTGTAATTAATAAAATTAATTATGTATTAAACATTTTATTTATTCAATGCTTTTGTAATTAACTTTAAGTACATATAACAATAAATTATGATTCAAAAATCTAAACATACTGCTGTATTTTTTATAGAAATGGGTATGGTACAGTATAGACTCGTTATAAGCTAAAAAGATCTCTACGCTATTTGCAAAGAAACCATCCCCACCACTGGGGGGTATACGCCTCGAGACGCTACGAAGCTCGCTCGCCCAGTAGCGTAACATGATCTGGGATCAGATATCGGTGAGGCAACACTAATGTAATAACCTAACTTTGTTATTTTTCATTTTTTTTTTATAAAACTTTTTCCATGATATTTCTGAGATTTTTCTAATTGCAATGATACCAAACACGATATAATTCGGACCATATTTACTTGAAACAACTTATTATGTATCATCATTTCTATTAAATTAGACATAAGTTTTATCTGAAGTATCTGTTCAATCAGCTACCGTATCACAATAACCAGTTTTTATTAGATTATATAAATATTTCCATTTCATTATAAAATGATAGTTTCATTTTATTGGATTAACCGACATAGAGCGATTTGTTTTCGCTCCGTTCTCTTTTTCACTCGCTGCCCTTTTCTACGTTCGAAGCAGTCGGCAAATATCAAACAATGGTGGAACTACACGTTATAAGCAAAAATCCGGTCCCGAGCGTTTTGCTTATAACGAGTCTATACTGTATATGGTTTGATGTAAATGCCTCTTAGATACATGATCAATCATTTTACAGAAATTTGATCAGTTGTTTTGGAAGAGGAAACGTTTTTGCATTACTCTTCTTGAATTCTCCGAGCTCTTGAGCCTCGTTAGTAGGTCGAATTCGGTGCATTGAAAAGATGAATTGTCAGAAACAAATTCTTTCCAGAAAAACAAATAGAAATGTCGACACGTGCCGCGCGCAGATTAGACCAACTGGTTACTTTTGTGACCCCTTTCGCTAGCTCTGCACCCCCCTACTGATCTGTACGTACATGCACTTATACACGAACAAACACGTTGAATACATGGAACGCGAATGAAAGGACACGTGACATCGAAAACCATGAATAGTTAGGGACGAACCCTTTCGTTGAATCAATAGCCATTCTGTCACGGTCTCACGGAGATATATGTAGCCTAGAGTTTGTTGCTCGAACGGCCGTAGTCGATTGAAATTGCCGATACACTCTGGCTACTTTTGATCGAGTTCGATTCATTATTATTGTTATACCGCGGTAAGTAGTTCGATTGAGCAATTTCACTGGTTGCTCAAGAGACGAGGACCATTAATTGTTAAAATGAAAATGAAGATAATATACCGCGTGACGTACAAGATGAACGATACAAATAAAAAAAATAATTTACATTGCTACAGTACCGGTTCAAGCTATAACTTGGTCGTAAGGATGCTTTAAACATTAATTTCTTTAGAATTTTTGGCATTAATTAACAAAAACAGTATTCTCTCAGATGTTATTTTCTTCTTCTTAAGACTTAAAAAAATCACTAAAACAAAATTAAAGCACAGATGCGTGTGCGTGAGGTATGACTTACCAACGATGACCAATTGTTCCCACATTTCTTTCGCTCATCATCTTCTAATATCTCTATAGTACCGTGAGGAGCTGACGAGTTTCCCGAGTCGGGTGGTCTGCGTAATGATTGGCCGTTGACCCACTCCGGCTTTTAACTGATCTTCTGTCACATGCATTTTCGATATTAGCGGATAGGATCACAACTACTTAATTCGATGTAAAGGCTGGTTCAGACACGGCTAGTAGTTTAGTCGAGTGGCGGGTAGTTTAGTGTATGGACATTACAATTTAGTCGAGTAGTTTAGTAAAACGGTTTAATTGAGTAGATCCGTTTCATTGGATTTTTCTGGTCGAGTAGGCTTCTCCCACCACTAACTAGGCTTGTCCTACCACTAACTAGGCTTCCGAACCTGTCCGGACCCATTTCTTTAGTCAAGCGATATATCTTGTACTCTCGATTTTCAAAGCTCAACTGTACTAGTCCGGACACTTTTCTATGCACTAAACGGTTTAGTAGTAAGTAGCTACTCCCCACTCGACTAAATTACTAGTCGTGTCTGAACCAGCCTTAAGACAAGGAAAGTGGAAACGACGGATCGAAAGTAAATGAGATGCAGTTGTGAGCGAGCGGTTCAAGGCATTGACGTAGACATGAATTTTTTTACTTACCTTAAACATTATCAGACATAGTGAAAGCACTATCAGTGTCTGATGAATGATCCGAATCAGTACTTAAAATATCCAATGTTAATTCATTCATGGCTTCTTTTAATAGTCCATCTTTCTCGCAGGATTTCTCTTCAGTTTTTTCCACATGTTTTGAAAAGTTTTCCCAATTTGTTTCTGTTACTTCTTCAATTGCTTTATAGGTTAGAATTGCTAATTCACTTGCTGTTAATGTCAATGTATTATTTTCACGAATTGTCCTTTTCACTTGTGCCCAAGCTAATTCGATTGGGTTAAGCTCGCACATGTAAGGCGGAAGTCTAAATACGGTGTGGCCATTCAATTTTAAAATTTCGTCAACTCTAAATGTTTTTTCCGTTTTCTTATGTGCCAAAACAAGATTGTACAATTCATTTCGTCTCATTGTTTCCGCATACGAAATGTTGTTGTCCTTTAACCAATTTATTATGTCTGCCTTTTTCGCGTACCTATTAGGAGGTTTATTAAGTTGTATCGAGTGGTAAAGAGCGTTACCCATAACAGTTTCGGAATTGGATGCGATATTAGGTAATAATTTCTCCGTTATCCACTTTTCGAAATTAATACAGTTCATCTGTCCATGATAGTCGCCACTTGTGGAACGCGATTTAAATACCAACCCCGCATTTTTTACCCATCCACTTTTTCCACCTGTATGTATTATTATAGAACGGTGTGAGGAACTTGAGCTTTTCAGCACACCTAACACGTCCTCACTCTGCCAGCATTTACTCGTAGTGAGGGTGTTATCCACCCACGTCTCATCGAGAAAAATAATATTTCGTCGCTCTTCCCTGTAGCGGCGCATCGCTTTTAAATATTTTTTACTCCAGTTGACAATGTTTGGATTTTCAATTAAAACTTTTCTAATGCTGTTACTTCTTTTCCACTTATATCCCATACTTTCCAGCAATCATCGGAGTGTATGAACTCTCCATGCAAAGTCAATTTCTTCCCTTATTGTTGCTAATGTTGGATACTATCTTCCCTATCTGCGGCAAAGGGCAAAATCACATCAACAGTCACTTCGTTTGCCCCCTATCTCCTGTATCTTCCATAAACAATTAGTCATCCTTATACTCATCCTGCCTTACTTTCTACAATTAGTCCACACACTCATTGTCAGTCATAGGACGGATTCATTATTTTCTTACTGAACGTGAAGGAACGATTTCAATCGTCTGAATTGGGGCCAACGAAGAAAAGAAGTTGGCTCGAGAAGTTAATTTTCAGTCATTTATTATATCTAAACGAACGCGCCGGAATGATATAACAACAACTGAACGGCCACAGACTGTTTTGCTAGAATTCTTAGTTAAATTAATCCCAGATACATTCGATGGCGACAGATATAAATTACGTAGTTTTATTAAGCAAATAGATGTTGCTTTTGAATTAGCCCAACCTTTTCAACATCGGCCGCTTCTAAGTTACACAAAAAGTAAAATTAAAATAAAAAATAAAAAAAGCAAGTGGACATCTACTGCAACTTAATTATTTGGCCTGAAGTAGCTGATCTCTTACTGACCTTATACCAACATAGGAAAAGTCTAGATCAATTGTTAGAAAAATTAAATAGCATGAAGCAGGAATATAACGAAAATGTTACGCAGTATTATCAAAGATTAGAAGAATTAACGTCGAGAATCTTACAAGGAGAAGGCAAGCACTTCGGGTCTCAGATTTTGTTGAAACTTCGTACACTTATAGATCTTGTCCTCCTGTTAACGAATATATACCATTATAGGCGTAGATACTCAATAGTTTTTTAGATATTTGTATTTGAAGTTTCATTATACCAAGAAATATAGATTTAGTGAAAGGTTTCAAGAAGAAGTGAACTGGCGAAGTGGCAATGTACTTGATACATACTCGGAAGGCTCGGGTTCGAATCCGCTCATGATATGTAATTTTTTTTCGATTTATTTACTGCAATTAATTGGATTTCAAATATATATGCAATAATACTATTCATGACAAACAAAAGATAATAATTGTGTGTTAAAGTATTATAATAAATAATTAAATCAAAGCATATCTCGTTGACTGCGCCTGAAAACAAAAGAAGCATAAGATAAAAAAGCCATGCGATACATACGAAATAGAATAGGTTAAGAATAACGATAAGATGTAGTACTCACAATTATTAATAATTACAACAGTGATACTTATCGTAAAAGCAAACAAAGCATAAATGAGAAAAACATCTTGCACATCTCATAAGTGTAGTTTCATTGCATGCACATTTGCTTTTCTGTATTTCTATTGGAAATTAAATTTTATTGTATTTCTATTGGAAATTAATTAAATTTAATTATTTATTATATTACTTTAGCACACAATTATTATTTTTTGTTTGTCATAAATAGTATCATTGCATATACATATATTTGAAATCCAATTAATTGCAGTAAATAAATCGAAAAAAAATTGCATACCACGGAGCAGATTCGAACCCGAGAGCCTTCCGAGTATGTATCAGGTACGTTACCACTTCGCCAGTTCGCTTCTTCTTGAAACCTTTCACTAAATCTATATTTCTTAATATAATGAAACTTCAAATACAAATATCTAAAAAACTATTGAGTATCTACGCCTATAATGGTATATATTCGTAAACAGGAGAACAAGATCTATAAGTTTACGAAGTTTCAACAAAATCTGAGACCCGAAGTGCTTGCCTTCTCCTTGTTAGATCTCCTGCATTCTAGTGAATCAGTAGAAGATACACTTCAAGGTAGATTAGCCATGATAAACGATATAACATTAAACAGATTTATTTATCACACACATCCTCAGATATCACAGATGTTAAGATACCGCGAATTCAGAACAATTAGTCAAGCTTTCACTGCTGCCATAGGCGAAGAGAAGGCATCACGTTTAACATATCCTACACAAAGGGTATAGCAGGATAAGATGGTCAAAAGTGCCCTTGAGCCGAATTTGCTTCGCAATGCACCATTCGATAGCATATCCCAAAAAACCATGGTACACCAAGTTTCAACCCTGTACCTCAACCGGGAGGGTAGTTACAGGGTAAGAAAGAAAAAGTAGTTTTTGCCATATTTTCCCTATTTAATGGCATTCAAAAAATCTGAAAAAATTCTAGAATATTCTAGCCATGTTTCTTTATGATTGTGAATTTTTTCAGATTTTTCGGTTGCAAATCCTAGGCGTGAAAAATCAAAAACGCAAAAAAAAGTCGAAAAATAGAGATTTCGGGTAGAAGCTTTCAAGACACTAGATTTTTACTTTTACAGTAGTTAGATATTAGCATGACTGGTGTCCTCAATTTTTTTCAGATTTTTCATTCTGGTGCGTCAAACCGAAAAAAATCAAAAACCGATATTTTCGACATATTTCGTGCGATAACATGAGAAATACTTTCAGTTTTTACATTTCCTTTACACACTTAGTGCATTATGTGATTTCGAATATTTTTGCACTGGATGAAGTAAATTCTGAATGGAGAGAGTAAAGTTATTATAAATAATTGAAAATTATGCACCTTATCCTCTAAAATATTAGAAAGTTTTTCAACGTTGCCGTTGGGTAAGTCGGTAAAGCCGAGTATCCACCTGTATCCAACGCCCGTATCGTATCACCGTTCCGAACCCTTTTGAATAGGCAGACGTTGCCTCGTTGCATGCCACGGCGTGCTACGGCTCGGACAATATTTTTTCGTTTCTTGATAGAAACGGTTCGGCAATAGGACTGGGCCACTACAGGCGAGGAGTTTCGTTTTGCTGCGTGCCGTTCCAAAGGAACGGAGGCAACGGACCTATCCGAAAAATTTGTCGATTCTTTGCCGTTGCATCGAAGGAAAGGTTTATGCATTTGCACTTGAGATAGCGTTTCGTGCCGTCACTTGGGTTTCAATTTATTTGAAATCTTGCGGTATTATTGGATTCATTTCAAAATCGATGAAATTATTTATGAACTTAATCTAATTTAATTTAGACAAATTTTATCGTCTAAATATATTTAAACAGATCAATTATCTTCGGTGATACGCTGTACATAAAAGAGCAATGTTAATAAGAACCTCTGTGATTATTGAAAAAGGACAATGTTAATTTTCCAGAGATTTTTCCGTTGCCAAGTATCGAAAGTTCTATTGGGTTGTGATACGGAGGTGAAGGAACGGGCCGATCCGAAAATTGTCGGTTTCTTGCTGTTCAAAGGATAGGTTCGGAGACCACTTGAAACGTAAAAACAACATACCCAGGCGAAGGCCCGAAATGCTATGTCAAGTGGAAACATGACACTTGAGGCTCGAGATAATATGATCTAGAATCGGATATATCAGTGAGATAATACTAATGCAATGACTGAACTTTGTTATTTTTCATTTTTTTCTTATAAAACTTTTACCAAGATATTTGTGACGTTTTTCTGATTAAAATGATACCAAACACGATATGGTTAGGACAATTCCAATAAAGAAACAGCATGCAGGAAATCGAAACTTCTCGCCTATAGGAGTTTCTTTCAAGAAACGAAGAAATATTGTCCGAGCCGTAGCACGCCGTGGCATGCAACGAGGCAACGTCTGCCTATTCAAAAGGGTTCGGAACGGTGATACGATACGGGCGTTTGATACAGGTGGATACTCGGCTTAAGGTGTCCGACTATGGAACCGCTGGAAACTTTTTTGTCACGAGTTCGCGCCCCATGAATGTACAATTCTATTTTTTGTCATAAAACAATTGTTTTTTTAAATTATTAATTACATAATTTTTTTGAAATAATTACAAATAATTTTGAAATATTTTATTATTAAGTATACATAAAAATAAGTGGTACACAACCGACTCTTTGGCTATATGTACAATTAAGGTAAAATACACATATATTGCTTTCAATATCCATCATAAACCAACAACCACACAGCTTTTCAATTAACAAAATATTGGGAGCTATCCGTAATTAGAACAATACGTAATCAGAAAATCGGTAGTGCACCACTTATTTTTATGTATACTTAATAATAAAATATTTCAAAATTATTTTCATACGTTATTAAATGATTATTGTGTATTCTTATGTAATTAATAATTTTAAAAAAAAATTGTTTTATGACAAAAAATAGAATTGTACATTCATGGGGCGCGAACTCGTGACAAAAAAGTTTCCAGCGGTTCCATAGTCGGACACCTTACCGACTTACCTATCGGGAACGTTGAAAAACTTTCTAATATTTTAGAGGATAAGGTGCGTAATTTTCAATTATTTATAATAACTTTACTCTCTCCATTCAGAATTTACTTCATCCAGTGCAAAAATATTCGAAATCACATAATGCACTAAGTGTGTAAAGGAAATGTAAAAACTGAAAGTATTTCTCATGTTATCGCACGAAATATGTCGAAAATATCGGTTTTTGATTTTTTTCGGTTTGACGCACCAGAATGAAAAATCTGAAAAAAATTGAGGACACCAGTCATGCTAATATCTAACTACTGTAAAAGTAAAAATCTAGTGTCTTGAAAGCTTCTACCCGAAATCTCTATTTTTCGACTTTTTTTTGCGTTTTTGATTTTTCACGCCTAGGATTTGCAACCGAAAAAT